TAATGTAATGATAATCAAATTTTATCAATCTGTATTGCTGTGTTAAACAAATATGAATCTTTTGCTGTCAAAACTTAGAGTGTATGAATTAATTTTATCATGAATGATGATATGTTATACAATTATAATTTTAAAAGTCATTATCATTTCCAGTTATTGTATATTGAAGCTATAACCTTCCATGAAACATTAGCAACCCCAAGCAGTGCTTCACCCTACATAAAATGATGTCAATGGTAGTTAGGCATTCTATATACCTTTTCCCAGTTAGTCCTCTCAGCATAATACTTGACATGTGGATTTTAAAAATGTTTTTCATCAATGGCTCCAACCTCTTTCTGTATATATAACAGTTTAAGCATTCTGTTATTTTACTATGTACCTTAACAGTCTGTGGTAATTGAACTACACCTCTTTCAGGATCATAAGTGTCATGATTACATTTAAGATAATGCAGAGCATAGTACGCCATGATTCTGTAATACAATATTACAATCATAATAATTATGGAATGCTTGACTCATGCTACCTTTTCTCAGTCTCAGGGGTTGGCCTGTCATAGCGTGGATATGCATGCTCTGAAAAACGAAGAAAAGCCTACAATGTACATTGTACACAATATATGCTAAACCTTCCTTCTTATGTGCTGACTGGGTATATCTTGTATGTTTGGAAGTTCCCTGTCATATGTAATGGTGTGAATGGATGCAGAAGAAGCTTTTCTATAATCTTTTATTATAAATAAGTGATTTATATTCTAACCTCTGAGGGTCATGTAAAAGAAAAATTTATGAAGAGTTCCTCTTCTTTGATATTCTGGTAGTATATATCCAGCTCCAGGCTGTAATTTGACAGTAAATTAGCATCCAATGATAGACTTCTATGCTTACTGTTAATATGTGGATTTTTCTTGAATTGTGCACTAGATCTGTCTGTAAACTGCTATAGCACATCATGGCACATATCTTATTGTCATCTCGAATTATCAGAGTGCGATCAAATGAATCATGAAGTTTTAGGAAATCTTTGTAGCTAATAAGTTTTAAAAATTAAAAGTAAATACTGCATGAGTTTAGCAGTTTTTTACAAGTCATGATTAATTACCGTATAGCGGGTAAATTTGGAGGGGCTAAATTTTGGCGAATTGCTAAATTTTGGTGATTGGCGGGTTTTAATTTGGCGAATTTGTGGCCACGTGCCATTGAGCATGCATATAATGGCTAAATTTTATTTTATTTTGGCGAATTGCTATCAAAACGCCAAATTCGCCAAATTTAATTCCCTCCAAATTTACCTGCTATACGGTATTTCATTCTCTTACCTATTTTTTCTATCCATATTCTGATGCCATAGTTCATATACTTCATTAGTAATGCTCTATAAGATCAAACATGTAATGGACTGATTGCTAGTATCATAACTCATAATCCTCTTACTTGGCTCATATTTTTATTGAGAAAAGAGTGAAGTCTTAAACTCCTCATCATTCTACCTCTCAGTGCCTGAAAGGGAATCAGTCATTTATTTTCTGGTAGCTGTCGTTTACAGATATGAATTCTCCAGTAGTAAAACAAAAGCTCAATAGCCAATACTATAATACCTCTATAGCATCCTGGCTGTGACATTTCTATTTTCTACTATATCTCATTGCATGCACTAATTACAAAGCTACTATAGAAACTTGTATGTGAACTGCATGACTTTATTGCAGTGTATTTCTTCTCACATGCAGACATCAAGCAAAGCGACAGCATCGCTAGTCTCCACTATCAGATCAAGAACTGTGATGATATATTATCAGTTAGTAAAGTGTAACAAATTTTTTATAGTAATGTTATGATATCATGCTTTTTCTCCATATTAGAGAATGGAGGAAATGCTAAGCAAGTTTCAAGTAATAATACTACTACTAATAATACCAATGTTGTTGTGATATTGTTTTTTTAATTGCTAGTTGGATTTAGGTAGCATTAGCACTGAAATACAGTCACTGCAGGACCAGTCTCACTCTCTTAGTGCCAAACTTCAGAACAGACAGGTGACTATTAATCTATTTAATTAACGAGTGTGGGTGTGGATTAATTTATTATTTTTGCAGGCTGTAAGAAGTGAATTGACTTCGTATTTAAGGAATATTTCAGTTAGCGAGCATCTTGTACAGTAAGTAATGAGAAAATTAAAAAATAACAAGACTTAATTGTTTTTCTAGGCATATTACTGATACTCCTGCTAGCGAAAAAGAGTTTAGTGAGACGTTGCGAGAGTTAGACGAGAAATTAAAGTTCCTCAACCTCCAAAGCTTTAACGAGTATCGCTCTGTTTATGATGTCCATGACGTACTAGTGAAATTGAAGATCAAAGTATTAGAGAAATTATTATTTTTGATATTATTTTTAATAGGCAATCACTAAAACTCGTGAGTTTATTATCAGCAGAATTTACCAGTTTAGACGTCCAATGGCTAACTACCAGATGCTCCAAA